CCCCCCTCCGACACACACACACATACACACAAACACACACCCACACACCCACACATACACTAACACAATAAACAAACCACAAATCCCTCACCTCCCCCCCACTGACCATGTCCAGTCTGGTGTGTCCAGTGTGTGGGACGCTGACCAGGGCATGACCCAGATCTACGACAGTGGCAGTCACATAGAGGAGAGCACCGCCCTGCACTGCCCGCATCTCTTCAACATGGACGGCAACGACGAACAGCCGGACTCACGCTCTGACGATAAGGTGACACAACAACGTAATCAACAACCGCTCTTAACGAAAACAAACAATACAATGAAAGAGCGCATGAATCAATTTCGTACGAAAAGTGGATATAGCCCCTTCTTGCGTCCAGCCGTCAAATAATTGCATTTATATAATTGTATAGTAAGTATTGACGCTTCACAGCATGCACTATGTGCTTAATTGTGTTTTTACGCCCCCACTGACACAATTAAGGTCAAATCGCCCACCTACATAATAACAAAGATCGTACATAACAAGATAGTTCATCCCTCTCTTTGAGCCAATTAAAAGAGTGTCCTCAAAATTCGGTGACGCCATCTTCGAAGAAGTGCGGACTTTGCCATTAGAGATACCGTACGCTACTTGTGTGAAAAAACGATAAAAGTGAAAGTAACAAACTGTGCTATTCCTATTGTTCTTCTGGGGAAACGAAAGAGAGTTTCAAAACAAAGGCTGCAGCGCAGTCTGAATAAATGCGCGGACTTCTGCCAACACTTTTTGGTTGAGTGGACTATCTTGTTATGTATAATCTTTGATAATAATAATATGTATTTCCAAGCGGTGCATTTAAAAAGGCCCGTCACCAGCTGGGTGATCCTCACCACCCACCAACATTACCCAAATCAACCACAAGTGGGCAGTAACGCCATAGTTGGCAAGCGCAATACAGCATCAACAGTTTACTGGCCACACCAAACTACCTAATAGTCAACAATCTAGCTTTTTTCGGGGGATTCAAAAGTCGACCTTTAAACATCGTTCAACGTGACGACAAATATTTCTGATTTATGATACAAAAATATATATAGCTTTATGGTGCTATGGTGTAGTCTGCTCCTTCTTTCCTGTCAAACATACATCTGTCGTCCTTATCTCTTCTTAATTGTTTTTGTATATTACTCCCTTGCAACAATAATTACTGATGTTCGACCCTTACTGATTTAGCATCTATAACATCTATCTGAGTTTAAGTATGAAGAAGTACATCGATCAAATAACGGTCATTAAGTGCAGGGAAGAGGCGAGACAAACAGACAGAAACAACTGAGAGAAAGAAAAAAAGTAAGACATTTCGGTGGTACCTTCCACCCCCCCCCCCCCCCCCGATCTATTTATGAGTTTCCCCTTCTCAACTCTTGATCCCATAGAGTTTTGAAAACTGTCTGTGTTTTCCCCCAGGGGCCCGAAACAGAGTCCTTGGCCTTGGCAGAGGTCAGAGGTCGCCTGTATGTGTTTGTGGGGAACGAGCGACCAGGAACCATCAGCGTTTACAGGTACTGGGAAGTGGGGGAAGGGGGTGAGGGGAGGGTGAGGTGGTCTGAGGGAGTGAGAGTAGTAGAAGGGGAGATGATAGTATGGGAAGGGAGAGGAGGGGATAGGTATAGGGTAATACGGGAGGGGATAGTGGGGTAGGAAGGGAAGGGGAGGGGTGCAGGGTGGGGGATTGGGGTACAGGAGAGGGCAAGGAATAAAAGTGGGTAAGGGTAAGGTTGAGAAATTTTTACTCAACTCGGACGGGACAAGTATGGTGTTTTTCTCGGTGGTGGGAGGGTACACAAAGACACACAAAGACACATACATACAGTGGCGGTGGGTTGATCCAAATTTGGGTGGAGCTTAGGTTGCTTCTACTTTTTTATCACCAAATGGCAAGCAATAAGAACAAAACAGTGATATTTTTTTTAATACTCATTACGAGCCACGGCATTTTAAGAAGCAGTCAAACGAGGCAAGTCACCTTTGTCTTCCATCTCTTTGTTTAAATTCTTCTGGATGGTGGAGACGAAGCCGTCCCTGGCACCTCCAAATTTCTCTAATTAACTTTTATGTAATAAAAAAGTTGCCTTAAAAGTGGTTTAATGTAATTAATAACTGTTAAATCTCAGCGGCACACACACAAACAAGCACACAAAGCACAACCGTCTAAGAGCTGGATTAGGCCGTGTAGTCGCGGAAAGTACAGCACACAACAAAGGTCCAATGAACGCATAGGTAACTGTGTCACTGGGGGAAAGTGTGTCATAAACTTGCACCTCATTGTCAGGGCTAGGAAAACGTGAGCCCTCTGTGTAGTGTTATTTTTTCAAGTCTTCTACCTTTTTACAAGAGGGGTTTCATCATGGAGGGGCCCCTGGGAACGGGCTCGTCTTTTGGCTGTTAGGTTGCTACAGTTGTAAGCGGTGGTAACAGAGATTGGATAAACGAGAATGCCGCCAAGTTGATCGCCCTGTGTTCATTGCGTGCGATCATAACGGTTTCAACTGCTTATTTGTTATTTACATTTGCTTTGGGATAGAGTTGGGGGGTAGGGGTGGGTGGGGTGGGGGGCTCAAGCCCGTGAGCCCTTCACTATGCATC